AGCTTTATTATCTTCCATTGTCTGGATGTACCACAGTTTATTTTAACCAGTTCCCTTACTAATAGAACTCGGGTTGTTTCTAGTCTCTTGCTATTACAAACAGTATTGCAGTGAATTAATATATGTACAATGCTGAAAATAGGGCCTGACACATAGTCGGAGCTAAATAAGTATTGGTTGTTTTTATGCATAAATACACAATGCATAATTTAACTGTGTGCATGCAAGTATTATGTGTGTATAGGATGAAGTCCCAGAAATGGCATTGCTTAGTGAAAGCGTAAATGCAGTCAAATTTTTTTTAGGTATTGCCAAATTGCATTCCATAGGGATTGTGTCCTTTTGCACATTTGCGACATACTCTGTACTAATGTAAGATATTATTAGGGCATGTTTTACACAGTGGGCACCTAAAAGAAGTGGTTGACAGATTGTCATTACTTAGTTATCTGTTAAAATTGTGTATGTTCATAATTAGGTGCTAGACTATGTCAAGGCCCTAGTAAGTGATGAGTTTTTCATTGAGATTATTTCTAATGTTTTCTTATCCCACTTTTTTCTCTTATTTATTTTCCCATTATAATAGCAGAAAAATGTTTTTATGCATTAACCAAATTTAGAAGCCATAAAGGAAAAGATTGATAAATTTGGCTTTATAAAAATAAAAAATTTTAGTCAACTGGAAAACATCATAAACTAAATTAGAAGGCAAATTACATAATAGGAAAAATGCAGCCATTATTATAATATATAACTGTATAATGTACTATTACTCATTGCTATGAAAAAGGTAAAACACGAGTTAAAAATAGGTAGATGTTCCAAACTGGCACTTTACATAAAACTAAATCGCAAGCGCAGGCAAATACGCGTGCGCGCGCGCACGCACGCACACACGCACACACCCAGGGTTCAGATTGGACCCAAAGAGAAAATTGTAATTATGTGTACCAAGTACTGATGAAGATATAAGAAGATTAAGCAGATAATTAAGGATGTAACAAAGATTTTGTTACAAAAATGTTTATAGCAGTATTGTTTCTAAGCATGAAAAAACATTTTACTTTCCAACAGCAGGAAGACTGATTAAATACATTTTGGTTTACTCATATAGATTCAGCACTTTAAAATTATGATGTAGATAGATGTATTTTTTTATCAATACGGAAAGAGCAAAATTGGAAAACAGCATGTGTAGTACTTTGTAATAAAAGAGCATTGTGATATCTCATTTTTATTAAATGTATATAGTAATGTGTAGACACTATCAAAGGGTACATGTAAAATTGGAAGAGGGTTTATCCCAAGGTGGTGGAATTGTAGGCAGTTTTTAAATTTATATTTGTCTTCTCTCTCTCATCCACCTCTTCCTCCTGCTCTTTTTCCTTCTCCTCATCTTCTCCCATGTTTCCAAATTTGTTTATAGTGAGCATAAATTATTTAGTTAATACTTAAGGAGTCCAAAAGCAATATAACATTTCATAAACTTGGAGGGAAAATCACCTACCCTACGGTATAAAATTATTTTATTTTTTTGTTTTTTTCCCCGTGTATATCTGGATTTGTAATACAGTTGTAATATTATAGGATATACCATTTTTATATACTTTCATCACTTTTAAACATTTTTCCATGTGCTGCATAGTCTTCACAATTTCATTTTAAATGACTGATATTCTATAGAGTGGTTTCTCACTCATAGGAAGTTTGAAATGCGAGACAAGTGTCAGGGAGGTTTTTGCTTTTCTTTCTGGAAGCCTTTCTTCAAACTAGAATTATCACTGTTAAGTGAAAGATTGGCAGTGACTTAATGAGGCCTCAGTAGCCTAGCTTCCTTAAGTCTGTGCTTCCAGACAGACCCATCAGAGCAGAACAGATTACTTGATATTGTCACACCTTTTTTTAAAGTAGCAAAAAAAAACACACACACACAAATAGTTTGTTACTGAGGTGAAATACTTCATATAACAAAGCCAACAAAAGATATAAAATAGATCTAATTTTATGTAAATGATAATATATTTGTCACCTTAATCTACTCTGAGAGGTGTTTAAATCTTAGATCTCTGGTAGGATTTCAGAAAACTGTTTTCTCGGGTAAAGGTCTTCTTTCCTTAACTAATCTATTTGAAATTATTCTGTTTATGAGTGAATTTGGCCTACCTGTTCTAGAGCTATATCCATTTCTTTTTTTCCTTTTTCGTTGGGGAGTGCCTTTTTCTGGGCCAGAGGGCTTAACAGCTAGAAGCTGTGAATTTTCTCAAATCAAAATGGCAACTTTAAAGCTGCCCGAGTAGGTACTTGGCTCACTTGGGTTTCAGACATACTGATCCTAATCTTCTCAAACTCCAGGACACACAGTATCAACAGTTACAGCAGCCACAAGTTTATTATCTACTCAGAGTGCAATTACTTGGCAGCCACCTAGACTGTGAGGTCTTTGTGGGCCCCCAAAGAACTCATATCCTGAAGTGAGAGACTAATCAAGGCAGGTCCTCTTGGCAAGGACACTGAAAGGGTGGATTGCAATTGATAGGAGTTTTAATTTGTGAGGACTTAATCTGATCTGCTTTTGGAACAAGATGTGTAGATGTACTTATTGTCCATTTTCTCTGTGCATTTTTTGAAGATTCATTTGATTGTGTGATGATAGTATTGTCATAAGGACACAGACTTTATTATACATATCTGGCTCTATCCTTCACCTGCCTTACTGTCCAGAGGTACTCTAAGGATTTATTCAGCCTGCATATGGTGAGGGGAAGGACAACTAATATCTCAAATGGATAGTGTTTAGTAGTCTGGTCTGCCCACTGTGAAAATTCCTTTTTGGGAAGGCAGATGCTGAGTTTCTCAGGAAGCAGTTACTTAGGATGTAGCAAGAAATGGTACTGGTTGGCCCTTCACCTGATCAAACTTTGGTTGCTAGAACTCAGTGGCAGTAGTGTTGGTGATGGTAAGTAGGGGCCAAGCAAAACCAAGGACTCTGGAGTATATAATCAAGACAGAAACTAGAAACAGCACAGGCTACAATATCTGTCTGTACTCTCCTTCCCTGCGTCTCCTGCCGAGAAAAGCAGCCCTGGATCAGGAGGCTGGCATCAGGAGACAAGGATGCATTCCCTTACTTGACTTGGTTAGAGCCCTTGAACACTTTTCTAGGGCATTTTCTTGGGAGGGTAAACATGCTGTGTCACATCAAGATGAGCTGGCTTTGACTTCTGTCAGAGATGAGCAGAACTGGGTATAGATGACCTCACCAAAGCAGTTATGTTTTCAAGTTAAATAATGTCCTCTGTCACACCATTTAGCTTACAAAATTAGACTCACCATCTTGTTGCCTTTTAATTATTTAAAACAGTCTTGCTTTTAGAGCAGCAGTTATCAGAGTATGGTCTGAGGACCCCTGCGGGTCCTTGAGACCCTTTTAGGGGGTCTGCAGGGTTTTCCCTTCTCCAGCAGCGTGTCTGTCTGAGGTAAGAGTTTCTTCATCTGCATTAGCTAGAACAACAGATTGCAACAGATTGAACACAGAAGGCAGGTACAAGAATTCAGCTGCCTGCTATGAAGCCAGACATTAAGTTGTAAAATAATGCCACTTTTCTAACTAAAATATATTATTTATATTTATTTTTTAATTCTTATTTTTAGATGAATTAATATTTTTAACTTTCTGCTTTAATTTCTGCCGTAAATATCAGTAGTTATAACTCACAAACAATTTCTTGGATTCTTAATAAATTGTAAGAATGTACAGTCTTGGTCCTGGAACCAAGAAGTTTGAGAACTGCTATACTAGAGGACCAGCTTCGGAGAAATATCTACATCCTCTTCCCTCCTCTGGTCCTATAGAGTGAGAAATGATTTAGCACAGACCTAGCTTTACACAAACACTCTCAGAGAAAATTGGCTCAAGTGTCTGGTATACAGTAGGTGCCAGGTATGATGGTGATGATGGTGATTGTTAGTTCCTATGAGTCCTTGGCTGTGTCAGTCCATACAGTGCCCCAGAGTCCACACAGGGAACTGTGTGGACTCTGGGGCACTGTATGGACTGACACAGCTCACTCCTTGGCCCATTCTTGTTTTAAATACACTCCCTTTAGTCTCTTGCTTTAATTTTGCTCTTTATATTAACAATGGCCCAGGTGAAGCATTATTTTCCCCTATTTAAGTTTGTTGGAAATATGTTCCTGAAGGGGACTTTGTGTTGTCCTAGTGGAAGCTGAGATATAAGTTAGTCTTTCTAAGAGGAACAAGCAGGTTTCTAGGCTGGTTACTTAATGACACCACACTTTTTGTCTCAGCTGAGCTCTCAACGTGGGGGGTTAGCACAGCTGTGTCTCTCCACAATCCTACTACTGGAGAGATTCATAAACCCTAGGGCCTTATTGAGGAAGAGAAGTTGAGCGGGTATCTCAGTCTTCCAGTTCTGCCTGCTCCTCATCACAAACGTCCTCCTGGGAGTGATGACATGGTCCCATCAGGATTCCCCTAGCAGCATAGTTGGTTGTTGTAGGAATTTATGACCAAGAGAAAGGAAGGAGAACAGCCAGGATGCTGAAAAGGTGGGTAAGGTAAGAATAGAACTGGTGTGCTCGCCCTAGAGATGAATCCCCTCAGTGTGGCTGTATGAATAAGAAGCATTTCCACCTACCTTCTGACGTCATCCATTCACCTTCAAGGAGGCAGCCTGGACAGTGGAACAGCACAGGATCTGGTAACAGCCTTAGGTCCAAGGCCCAGCTCTGAACCTCACCTGTGTGACTGGGCACGTCACTCAGTTACTCTGAGCTCTATTTTCCTAAGTGATAAAAAGATAGCCGTGCCTACCTTATCTGCTTCACAGAATTGCTAATAAGACTTAGATTAAGTGACATCATAGATGGGAAAGCTGAAAAACATGTACAAATACTAGTTTTGTTTAAAGACTGCCAGTGGGGTATCTGCTCTTTGCCCCTTGCCTTCTGGACTCATGAAGCGTCTGTTCTTTCCTCCAGGTTACCTGTGCATGACAGATGAGTGGTTCTCTGAATATGTCTACGAAGTGGTGGTGGATAGGAAGCATGTGCCAGAAGAGGTGCTAGCTGTGTTAGAGCAGGAGCCCATCGTCCTGCCAGCCTGGGACCCCATGGGGGCTTTGGCCAAGTGATATTGCCTCCAGTTCTTTTCTCCTCCCATGGAACCTGAAGTAGCTGCAAAGGACAGATCCAGGAACTGAAGCCAAAGTTACACGGGTGACTGTGTTCCCACAGGACATAGTCGGACTCTTGGATTTCTCCTCCAGGAACCTCTTTGGGGGAAGTGTGCTTTACGTTGAAACAAAATATTCTTAAAGAAAATAAAAGGGAAAGATCAGATCACACTATCTACTCTCCTCATCTCCAACAGCTCAGGTTCTCTTAGCATTTTAATCAGATGTAATTGTCTTAACTCTGTCAAAAAGGTTTGGATCATTGTCTGTTTTAATAAGACAGGAGAAGATGAGCAATTGAGGAGTATGGAGAGAAAATGGACCTAATGTTCCTACAGTAGAGTTAGGGGAGGGTAACCCTAAGATATGAGCTCTCAAAACTGCATGCTGCCTGACAGTATCACTGTCCTTCCGAGATGGCAGTCACTGGATTCAGTTTTTCCAAGGTAATTTTATGTTCCTCTAGCAGCCCAGGAATGGGAGGTTGATCAAGTCTGACATGATTCCTTCCTGTTCTTCTGAACTGTGGGGGAGCACAGCTCTACTTGAGTCAAGATTAAATAGAGGCTGAGAGAAATTTGGGTGAGAGAACAACCAAAACCTTATCATGATCAGAATTATAATTATTAGATCATGATCTGAATTGTAATTATTAGGGGAGCTCTAGCCAAATGGTTTAACTTCTGCCTCTAGAATTGGGAGTTGGGTGGGCAGGAAAAGGGGTACCCATTCTTTCTGACAACTAGATGGTGCTGAGAAGCTTTTGAATAAAATACTTTGCTAAATGAGAGTAATTGGCTTATTTAATAATCTAAGAAGATTTCTTCATTTAGCTGCAAAGAAAAGCAACCAGGTGGCTCATGTTCTACAAAGTGAAAAAACAGCAGGATGACTGGCTCAGGGCTTTCCTGAACCAGCTTATCTCTGGGCTATACGACCCTTCCCGGCCTGTGCTGATCCTCACTGGCTTCTGCAGAGGGCTTCCAAGCACCGTATTTAACAGGGCCCATGCCCCTGCCAGTTAACCATTCTTTTACCCAAATCCAAGGTCCCTAAAGGGTGGGGAAATGAGGCTCTGCTGGGTCCAGCCTTCGAATGGGCTGGAGGGTATGTATTTTGCTGAGACTGGGCTTCCCTCTCACTAAAAGCAAATAAACAGCACCCTAATCAACATTTCCTTCAGTGCCTGTGCCCCCTGCCTTTCTGGCTCTCTAAGAATCTTCTCAGTCTGAGCAGGGGATATGTTTTATCCCAGCACTTTCCAAGATAACATTAGATAAAGGCTTAAGCTTTAATCAAAGTGTTTACAAAATTCTGGTAATCCTTTTCCAGGCGAGATAAATCCATTTCTAGACACATCGTGGTGAAACCCTAGAACAGATCTTAGAAGCATCCAGGAGAAAAAGGAAGATTACCTCCAAAGAAAAGAAAATTAGATTGACAGCTAACTTTTGATCAGCAACTATATAAACCAGAAGACAATGAAATATACCTTCAAAGTGCTCTGAGAAATTAACTGTGAATATAGAATTCTATACTCGGTGAAACTTCTTTAAAGAACAGGAGTGAAATAAAAGACATTTTCATTCAAAAACTGCTGCCCAAACAGAAGGGACAGTCTGAAATGCAACAAAGAACATGGATCAAAGAAAGTGATAAATACAAAGTCACTGTAGATAAGTCTTAGAGTTAAAAAAACAACTCGGATACATCGAAAATAGCTAATTAGGGAGAGGGGTGATTGGAATAAACATTCTAAAGTCCTATGTCATTCAGGAAGTAGGTAAGTATATTATTAGACTTTAGACTAATTATATGTGCTGAAAATATTTGGATTACTAAAAAATAAACAGGATGTTGTTCCCAAGCAAGAATATAATCAATTCATACAAAGACAAGATAGGGGAGAGAAAGAAAAATGCAGGTCAAATAGTGTCCAAAATAAGGTAGTAGAAATAATCTAAATGTGTCAATAATTACAATATATGTAAGTGGGTTATATGAAAAAAATAGCGTCCAAAAAAAAAAAATTGTCAAACTAGATTTTTAAAAGAAATTCAGCCATAAACTGATTACAAGAGACATCAGCAATTTAGGATATAACAAAAGGATAAGAAAGATATATCAGGCAGAAACTAAAATCTGGTATAGCTATACTAATAACCAGCAAAATTAGGGCCGCTCTGAACAGACACTAATTTTAGGTGTGTTACCCACAGCCTCCCTGGAGTTGTATAACGCAGTGACTCTGGAACTAGGCTTTCAAACAAAAAGCATTGCTAGAGGTAGAATCACTTCATAATTATGTTTACTTGATTCTCCAGAAAAATATGGAAGTTCTAAATTAGTATGTACCTAATAACATTACCTCAATATTATAAAACAAAAACTGACGATTATGTGGAAGAATAGTATCATAATGGAGGATTTTAACATCTCAATTATTGATAGATTGACCAAAAAATCAGGTGACTACATAAAAGAATTAAATAATTTTGATGTAATGGACATCTGTGGAACACTGCATCTAACAACTGCACATTCTTTTTGTGCACACTTGGGAACTTTTTCAAAAATTGACCACATACTGGGGGGTAGAGTGAACCTCAATAAATTTCAAAGGATTGTTAACCATGCAGTGCAAACTACAGTGCAATTAAGTTAGAAACCAAAATTAAAAGATAACTAGAAGGCCATATATGTTTAGAAATTAACTCGGGTCCAAGAAGAAATTAAAGGAAATTTAACTGGAATAATAATAAATACAGTGTGTCAAAATGAGAGGCAGCTAAAACTACACTTGAATATTATTTTTTAGATTTATTAAAAGACTGAAAATTGAACTAAGCATCTCTTTCAATAAATTAGAACAGCAAAGTAAACCCAAAGAAAATAGGTAAAAAGATACATGCAGGAATTAAACAGGATCAACAAAGCCACAAGTTCATTCTTTTAAAAAATGAAGCAAATTTAACATCTCTGGCAAGCCCAATCCAAAACACAAGCACACAAGAAATTAAAAGGATACTATTATAGATGCAGATATTTGAAAAACAGATACTCTTTGTCAAGTGACAAAGGTATTTATTTAGAAGACAAATCCACAAGCTCAGCAAGAACAGGAGAAGAGAAGCTGGAAAGCAGATAGAGCCATTGAAAGATATAGCAGAGCTGAATGAACCCTGAGCCAGTGGTGGAGACAGCTAATGGTACGCAAAGCAATTTATGTTGTATAAGCCCCCAAAAGCTCAGGTATGGTAGCACCAGAGAGCCTTCCTTCCGGAATTGGGAGTGAAAGAAGGATAGCTGAAGGGTTCAATGTCTGCAGATCCTCTCCACTGCTCAGCAGCCAACTCAAGATTTATTTTCAAGAGGGTAAAAGTATGGTCTGGAAGTCAGCACAGCTGAGGGTGAAAGTACTACAATGGGATTAAGTGACTATTTGCATTCTGAATGTTCTTGGTCATCCTGGACTCCTAGAACTCTGGTGCCAGAAGATTAAAAGGCTTCTTTGGAAAATTGCAATTAGCTTGAGAGGAAAGATGTAAAGAACTATTGTACGGCGTAAAGAATTAGTTTATAAGGCTGGCATAACCCTGACAAGGACAGTAAAAGAAAAGAATTACATGCAAATCTCATCCGTAAAGGTAGATACAAAAGCCCTAAACCAAATCAGCAATATATAAAAAGGAATCTTCATAACCAAATATTTAATAAAAGTTATTTCTCAACATTATTATCCAATGGGGAGAAACAATGATGAGTATGTTTTCTCTGCTGAAGATGAAATGGGCCAAAGTTTTAGCCAGAGATCTGAACTGGAAGAACTTAACTAATATTTGGGTAACTGGTGAGCTCAGAAATGGGAAGATGTGAATTGTTTTCCCCTTTAACTCTTTGGAATGATACTGTGACCTTTGGAAAGTCCTCACCAGCCTCAGGACTCCTCTTGAGGATATGTAGAGTCATGCTGACCCCACATATCCCAGAAGCTAGGACCTGATAACTACGCGTGCCTTTAGGATGTGGTCGTGGACTCATCCGCTTGCTCTGGCTTGTCCTGAAAGAGCAGCTTTTTTTTTTTTTTTTGCTGTTGGCAGAACCAGGGCACTTGCGCTTTAATTCCCATTCCTCCAGCCATGTGCCATGGGTGTGCATTGTTGCTGACTATGGCCATAGTCATTGGCAAAGCTGGATTTCTTCTTTTAAGTAACTCCAGATGAGCATTCTTATATTTAGGACAACTTGTTCAGAACCACAAAATTGTTTCTTCCTCCCTGGAGTCTATGATACAGTTTGAAAACAAAGAAATAAACTGGTCAGAGTTGTTTCCCTTTTCAAACTCCAAGCCCTTTACGCATTCCCATAAAGAGGAGAAAGGGAGAAGTAGGGGGTGGGGGGCGGGGCAGTGTTCAGGTCCTACTGGCCGCAGTTCTTTGGGAACAGGACTGTGTGAAGATGGGAAGCCCCTCTGCTCTCTTTCTTGGTACAGTGTGAATACTAATTGCTCTCTCTTCTCTAGAAAAACTCTAGTTCACTCTTGAAGTAGATGCACTGGGCTCTGGTACCATCTCTCAGGCTACCTCATGACAGTTTTTATTTTTGAATCAGCTGCTGTTTAAAAGGATAGGGTAGCTGATAGGTGGGAATATGGTGGAAAGTACCAGAGTGTGCTTGACTTACAGTTGACTCACCTGGCAGGGACCTCATAGGTTACCTCCTTGACACCTCTCTAAAACAGATAAGTCCTTTGCTTTCCACTTGGACATAGTAACAGGAACACACAGCTTCCTCTCTTGTGGCCCCTGCCCACCTCTCCACACTCAACTTCCTCACTTCTTGTTCACTCTGCTCCAGCCAACCCACTTTGTCCCTCCAACGCACTAAGCTCATTCCCGCCTCCTTGCTGTTTCTTCTTCCTGAAGCTCTTCCATCTTTGCGTGGCTGGCTCCTCATGATTTAGGTCATGGCTAGAATGTCACGGCCATCCTGATTACCTTATCTAAGCAGCCAGTTCCTCCCCACTGCCTCTACCACCTCAACACCCGTCACTCCCTATACTGGAACTGGGGTCAGTTCACAGTGCTTCTCACTTTCTGAAATTACCTTTATATGTTTATGTCTGTTTTCCCCAAAGTTAATATTCCCTGTCAGCTCCCCTCAGGCAGGGGTTTTGTATTGTTCACCACTTAATTCACATATGGTTGGGTGACTGTTTTGAAAATGCTCTATATTCGACAGCTATACTTAATTAAAAGTTTATACATAAGATCTGAAGTCTGCTGCCCTATAACTTGCTTAACAGGAAGGAGCAGAAGTAAAACAAAGCCCCTGTGATCTTATTTCCATGCTTAACAGAAAGGTCTAGATTTCAGGGGGGTAACCGGCATCAGGGGAGTAGAAGAGGGAGGGGAAACCAGAAAGGTTTATCCCTTCTCTCACTGCACCTTTCTTGTTTCAAATTGGCACAGCTCAGTGGGAAGCACAGGGCTTTTGGATACAGGCAGATAAGCTGGCTGTGCTGTTTGGAGCCTCTGTCAGCAGGGACAAGTTACTGAACCTCTCTGAGCTCAGTCACCATACCACTTTTATTGAAAAATTATATTTCAGTGTATTATATATGAAAACTCACAGTTCAAAAAAGATGAAATCTATCATTTACTTCCAATAACAGCAAAATAACAGCCAAAGGGTCTATACTGCCTATTACCCATATGGTAGGAAAAGAACAAAAGAGAATGCAGATAATGTGGCTGGTAGATGCTCAGTAAAGTGTAGCTTTTATTAATA